TATTGCCCTATTGATGGACATTTAAGTTGTCTCTAATTATATATTACTTTGCAATATGCACTGTCCACAGTAGCAAAGACATGGAATCAACCCAAATTCCCATCAGTGACAGACTGGTTAAAGAAAAGTCTGATACGTATACACTGTGGAGTGCTATGCAGCCAAAAAAAAAAAAAAAACAAATGAGATCATGTGCTTTGCAGGAATATGATGCAGCTGGAGGTCATTATCCTTAGCAAATTAATGCAGGAACTGAAAACCAAATGCCATATGTTCACACTTGTAAGTGGGAGCTGAATAATGAGAACCGATGGGCAGAAAGAGAGAAACAAGAGACAATGGGTACGACCTGAAGGAGGAGGGTAGGAAGAGGGAGAGGATCAGGAAAAATAACTATCAGGTACTATACTTCGTATCTGGATAACAAAATAATCTAAACCAAACCCCTGTGACACCAACTTACCTGTATAACGAACCTGCACTGCACATGTACCCCAAACCTAAAATAAAAGTTGAACAAAATTGCAATATACTGTCCTAGAAATTTTTTCTCTAATATTATGTTTCAAATTTTATTTTTAATATTGTACTAGGAGTACACAAGGAATTGCATGAGGAATGTATGAATATATTATTCTAAAAATTTTAAAAATATAGAAATACGTAACAATGAGAGCAAATGCTTACATAGGCCTTACTGTGCCCAGCAAAACTCTAAATGCTTTAAAGAGATAAGCACGTTTACGCTTCACAACAATCCATGAGATAGGTACTGTTGTTATTCCATTTTACAGATAGGGACACTGAGAGCACAAAGAGGTCATGTAACTTGCATGTGGTCATACAGCTAGTAATTGTTGGAGCTGGAATCTTAATCATCTCATTATTTTCCTTCACCTCTACCCCAATTTAATGCCTTACCTCAAATGTGGCAATGGTTCTTTGTTTCATTTGCAATTTTATCTATCTATGTAAAACACATGCAAAATGTTAATTTTTTGTGCATTGGTTTGCTTTTTATGTAATAGATTAATACTGTGTTATCTTGCAACTAGCTTTTTCCATTTAACCTTGTGTCTTTGACTTTTTCCATATCTTTATTTTAAAATTAATAATATATAAACGTATTTTCATGGTAAAAGAGCAGAATAATACACAGGTATAGAGAGAGTAAATATTCTAACTTGCCTTTCCTGCCTGCTCTCTGACATCTCACCAAAAAAAAAAAAAAACCCCAAAAACAAAACAAAACAAAATCCAATAAACGACCAACTGTCCACAGTTTGGTGAGTGTCCTTACAGTCTTCTTTTCATGCATTTTGTGTGAATAAATAAGTATATATATATTGTAGTATGCTATATGTATTTTTATATTATAAATACATAATATATATTTATTATTTATTATTCATTCAATATGTATATATTTATTCAATATTTATATAACTGGATTCATTCATATTGTTATACAGCCTCTTAATTTCTTATTCATTGATTTAATTACAGTCATGATACATGAATACGTTTTTCTTTTGAAAGATTAGAGCATTACAGGGAAGTTGAACACTTCCTTCCTTTGATCATCATTGATTTCCTCTGTACCTCCTTTGTCCCTGCTCACTGTTTGACTTTTCTCCTGTATCTTTTTATACTCATTCACAAACAAACACGTCTGCATGTGTAGGGAATATATAATATTATTTAGTGGCTTTAAAAAATATGAATTGTATTATGCTATGTGTATTGATTTGCTATTTACTACTTTCACCCAACATAATGTCTGACAGCTTTTCATGTTAATACGTATAAATCTACCTGTTCTTTGTTTCATAGTATTCTACTATGACTACTATGATAAATAATAGGATATTCTACTAGAATAAATAGACTATAATTTGTTAGCCAATTCCCCATTGACACGGTTATTTCTAAATTTTTGCTAATGTAAAACCTGTTGTAATGACTATCTTATATGCCTCTCTTTCTTTTCTCCACTGACTTTTAAATACTACTTTTAATCAATATTAGGTTCTTAGGAATACTTGAGTTTGTTTAGTGATTCTCTATTTGGTTCTATTGATTCATTTATTTATACCTTCATCCACGCCACACTTTTCATTTCTGTATTTTTATAATATGTGTGCTATCTGGCATTGAAAGACCCTCCTTATCTTCTTTCATTTTTGTGGTTAGTTTAACATATTTACTATTTTAATTAATTTTAAATGCAGATTATCATGCCCTTGTAGGATCTTATTAGCATTTTTATTTTGTATTTCATTGAGTCTACAGATTTAACCAGGGAGAGTTAGCATCTTTACATGAATGAGTCTTTCTTTATGTGAATAAACATAGTATGGCTTTCCATTTATCCAAATTTTTAAGTCCTTTAGTAATGCTTCATAATTTTCTCCATCAATATATTGAACATATCTTATTTGTTTTAAGTCTAGATACTTTATTTTTGTTGCTACCATCAATAGAACTTTTTCTTTCATTTCATAATTACTATAGGAGTATATGAAAGCTATTGATTTTTGTGTGTTGTCTTGTGTCCAACAACTTTACTTGTAAATTCTCTTTTTAATTGATTCTACTGGATTTTCTTGGTAGAAAAACAGATGATGTACAAATACTGATAGTTTTCTCTCTTTGTCTTTAGCCTGTGTATCATGTGTACTTTTTGTGTTTTAATGCATTGTTTAGGACCTCCAATTTAAGATTGAATCATAGCAGTATCAGATATCGTTATTTTATCCTTCCCTTTAATGGGAATGCTTCTGAAATTTCATCAAGTATTATGTTTGCTGTGGGTATGTGGCAGTTACCCTTCATTAAGTTAAACAAACTCTCTTGAATTTCTACCTTTTCTAGGCTTTTTAAAAACAAGAATGGGCCGGGCGCGGTGGCTCAAGCCTGTAATCCCAGCACTTTGGGAGGCCGAGGCAGGTGGATCACGAGGTCGAGAGATCGAGACCATCCTGGTCAACATGGTGAAACCCCATCTCTACTAAAAGTGCAAAAAATTAGCTGGGCATGGTGGCACGTGCCTGTAATCCCAGCTACTCAGGAGGCTGAGGCAGGAGAATTGCCTGAGCCCAGGAGGCAGAGGTTGCGGTGAGCCGAGATCGCGCCATTGCACTCCAGCCTGGGTAACAAGGGCGAAACTCCGTCTCAAAAAAAAAAAAAAAAAAAAAAAAAAAAAAAAAAAAAAAAAAAAAAAAAAACAAGAATGGTCACGCCTGTAATCCTAGCAATTTGGGAGGCTAAGGACAGTAGATAGCTTTGATCCAGGAGTTTGAGACCAGTCTGTGCAACATGGCAAAACCACGTCGCTACAAAATACAAAATAAATAAATAAATAAATAAAATTAGCGACGTGTGGTGGCATTTGCCTAAACAGAGTACCACCTACTCGGTGGGGGGCTGAGATAGGAGAATTGCTTGAGCCTGGGAAGGTCAAGACTTTTGTGAGCCGTGACTGCACCACTGTACTCCAGCCTGAGTGACAGAGCAAGACCCTGTCTCAAAAAAAAAAAAAAAAAAAAAAAAAAAAGAAAGAAAGAAAAGAAAACAACAACAACAACAAAAAAATAAGAATGGATAAAAAAGCAACGCTTTATCCATTGCTTATTCATCTGTAAGTTTGACATATAGTTTTTCCCCTTTATATTATTAATGCATAAAATTGGACTGATAGCTTTAAAATTTTTATAAACATTTCCAAATGTACATAGCAGTAGAACGTATAGAATAGTAGAATGTACAATAAAACCCCCTGTGTACTTGTAACTCAGCTTTAGTAGCCGTGAACATTTTGCCATCTTGTTCCAACTATCCTCTTTCCCTCTTTCATGCTGGAATATTTTAGGCGAATCAGGAATATCATGTAATTTCACTCCTAAATATTTCAGTATGCATAGCAAAAGAATTATAGCAAAAAGAACATCTTCTTATATAATCACAATGCAATTATCACACTAATACCCTGTGAGTAATCTAATTTTTCTAATTGTCTGAAAATGTTTTTGCCATTGAGGTTTGTTGGAATCAGGATCCAGTTGAGGTCACCTTATTGTATTATATCTCTTAAGTTTCTTTTAAAAATTTTTTAAAGCTGAAATCAAACAGTACCTCTTCTCTTTTATTTTAATGACATTGGCTTGTTGAAGAAACCTGGCATTTGTCCTCTAGACCGTCCCACATTCTGGATTTGGCTGATTGCTTCCTTGAGGTGTTATTTTACTTGTTTTTGTATTGCCTGCTATTTCTTGTAAACTCAAATGTAAAGTTAAAAACTTGATTAGACTGGGCGGGGCAGCTCACTCCTATAATCCCAGCACTTTGGGAGGTATTTTGGGAGGTGGGTGGATTGCTTGAGCCCAGGAGTTCAAGATCAGCCTAGACTATATGGTGAAACCCTGTCTCTACAAAAAATGTAAAAATTAGCTGCTGTGATGGCCCGCGCCTGTAGTCCCAGCTACTTGGGAGGATGAGGTAGGAGAATCACCCGAGCCTGGGGAGGTCGAGGCTATAGTGGGCAGTGATCATGCTACTGCAGTCCAGCAGGGTCAACAGAGTGAGACCTTGTCTCCAAAAAAGAAAAAAAAAAGACTTGATTAGATTCAGGTTTAAAAAATTATTATTTGTCAAGAATATCTCATGGTTGTTACTATATACTCCTTTTACATAATTTGCAGTTGTCTCACTTTTAGTAATGCTAAAAGTGGATTGAGTCAGTGACAGTCTGATCCCATCATTTTAAAGTTCTCCAGCATCCTTTCACCTAATGCATTGCTTTGCCATTTATTTGATAATTGTTATCTGAATCAATTATTTCATTAGAGGTTTCAAAGTTGTGATTTTCTAATTGTATCATTCTTTTAGCATTCATCAGCTAGAATTCCTCTGTAAGAAGAGCTATTCCTCATCTACTAAGGTTATTTGATAAGCCTAAAATACAGTTTCTATGGGAAAGACATGGTAAATTTTTTTTCACAGAACAGTCTTTATTATTGATCATATTTAAAAATTATTTGCATAATTATATATTGAATTGTAAATGAGTATCATACGCCAACCTCCTTTTGGAAGGCAATTCCTTGTAGCACTATAGAACATCTAATTACATTGCAAAAAGTATCCTTTTTTGCTATGGATAAAGAAAACAGTTAATGGTATTACTGTAAATATCAGGAAGGATACAAAAAAAGAAACAAGATTTCTTTTTTGTCTTCAAAGTGTTTTCCATGCAGTGAAGCACTTGCCGTGTTGAACTGAATGCACTACTGGAGAATGTCCAGGGTCCAAGATGCTCTTGAGAGATAAGACTAGGCTTTCCAAACCAAAGACTCAAAGGAATCATGCAACCCTCTTAACGACTGGTATACCGTCATGTGCCACTTACCAATGCCGTCTCTCCAGAAAACCATTCAAGACACTTAAAAAAAAAATCAGACTTATATGATAAATACAAAATGAAAAGACACCAACTGGTATCTGACACGACTATTGGCAATGTCTGTGCTATGTGAAAGCACCTTTAAAAAGAGCCTATGCGGCAAGAGATAAGTGTCTAAAGATTCAAAATGAATCAACGGTATTGGATAACAATATAAATCTCAACTCAGAAGCTGCCTCAAGATTAGGTGCATCTTCAGTTAATGTAACAGGAAGAAAAGACAATGGATTTTATTTTATTAATTGTATCCACTTACAAACCAACCTAAGGTCACCTGATGTGTAGACACAATGAGATTTTTGTTGCTTATAGTCTTTAATTGAAGTGATGATAAAGGAAATAGAGCTATTTAAAAACAAAACCAAACAGCTATTTCTGTCTAGATTAAGAGGTGGCCCCCGGTATGGGATTCACATTTTGAGTGGCCACTTGCGGTGCAACCTCCATGATCCGGGGTTTGTCTATGATTTTGGCTGCGCGGTTGCCCTTCTCTACAATCCCAATAATCCATGCTTGGTGGCCTTCACCATATTTGGGAGACTTTATCTCTGCACAGAACCGAGCTGCTTGCTCACGTGGTAAACAGATCAGAAGGCCGCCTGAGGTCTCCGGGCAGGTCCCGTGCATGAGGCCAAACATGTTTCCGCAGGCCTTGCTCACTGCAGCCATCTTGGCCAGCACCGGGAGGTTGTGAATGATGAACGACACCTCGTTTCTCTGCTGCTTGGCCAGGTTCTGCACATGGCCCAAAATCCCGAAGCCTGTGATGTCAGTGGCCGCATGGGCGTTGAATGTGTGCATGAGTCCTGCAGCTGTCCTGTTGAGCCTCAGCATATTCATCATCGCCTCCTGGTAGGCCAGCTCTACATCTTCTTGGGTGACAACTAGCTTAATCTTATTCAATTTCTCAGGAATATCCAGCCACTGGTGCACAGCCACTGCCACCTGTGTCCCAAGGGGTTTTGTCAACACCAGCACGTCCCCTGGCACTGCATTGTTTGGCATGATAAATTCATTGGGCTGGCAGACAGTGGTAGCGACTCCTCCCAGGACAATCCAGGGGTTTAGTACTGTTTGGCCGCCCGTCACAGATGTTCCTGCTTCCTCAGCTGCGTCTTTAAAACCTTGGATAATCAGAGGCATCACTTTATTCCTTTCCCTGTCTGTCATTTTATTACTGACTCCAAGGAGCATCAGCATATTGTCACATTCTGTGACCCGCATTGCGTAGAGGTCACTGAGGACATTGGTACATGCTATCCTGCCCATCATGTAAGGGTCGTCTACGATCGGGTAAATGTAATCTGTGGTTTGAACCAAGGAAAGCCCACTGTGCCTCAAAGGAATGACATAAGTATCCATTCCAATGCCAAGCCTTGGCGTAATGGCTCCCAGAAACTGCTCATCTTCTTGAAAGTGGTTCTCCTGCAAAGATTCCAGCAATTTCTGCAGGACATCTTGGGGCACTTTGCAGCCTGTGCCCTTCAGTTCAGTGAATCTGGTTAGCCGGAAGCTCTTGTCCAATTCGTAACTTTCCGGGTTAAAGGACTCCCACGTAGACATGGTTCTGGGGCCCGCTCTCCTCACAGGTCAGCCCCTGCCCTCCCTCTGCGGGTTGGCTGGGTTTTTTACGGATCCACCGGCTCGCTTTGCGCCCTCCGCCTCCTCCCGGAAACGGGCCGCGGGCCGCTCCCACAATGCACCAGGCGCGGCCGGGTTCCCTTAAGCGTCGCCTGAATAAAAATGCCCTCCTGGCGGCAGCGGCAACAACGGCCCGGGCCCGCGCCCGGACGCCTCGGGGGCTCGCCTGGTCGGCGCGGCCCTGCGAGAGCCGGGCCGCCGCGCTCCCCCCGGCTGGGCGCGCGGCGGTCCCGACAAGGTAAATTTTTAACTCTTTTTCCTTTAATTGCCAGTTTTCCAAGGAAGGAGTTAGTGCCCTGTTCCACACTGACGTATCTGTAAATGTGAAACCTTCCCTGCAGTCCTAGGATTAGCCTATTGGGGCATGATGAGTCTTTTTAAATCTACTGCAGGATTTGAGCAACTAGTATTTTATTTGGCATTTTAAAAATCTGTGTTTATGAATGAGATTACCTATAGCATTGATCCTTAGTTGGGCAAAACTACTCCTCAAGAAGGCATTTGGAAATAACTGGTGCTTTCGGTTGTCACAGTTTATTGAATGTGTGTTTATTGGTAAAGTCCTACTATAATTCAGTAAAGGGTGACGAGGGATGGTAAATGAAGAATTGTCGCAACAAAAATGCCATTAGCACTCCTGTGAAAAATGCTGGCCTGTAGTTCTCTTGTGCTTGTCCAATTTTAATATCAAGCTTATACATTTTTATATCAAGGTTCATATGTGAGATGGCCTATAATTTTCTTTCTCTTTACTTGTCAGTTTTCTATCAAGATTATCCCAGCCTTAGAGCTGCCTAGTGTCATTTACCATGTTTTTCATTTGGAAAAATTTATAGAAAGTTTGATTAATCTGTCCTAGATGGTTTTTTCAAAATTACCAAGAAAATTTCTGGAAATGTGACTTTTAAGGTGGATTATCGATTATCATACATTCTGCTATGATTAATTGGTCTATTTAAGCCTTCTTCATAGGCCAGTTCTTGTACTCGTTTTCCTGGAAATTACCCATTTCACCTAGACTTTCAAAATTATTGGAGTAAAAGTTACATAGTATTCTTAAAATAATTTTTTAATATCTTCTGTTTCTGTAGGTCAGTCCCCTTTCATATTTTTCAGATTATGTGATGTATTTATTTTAAATAGATTCTGACACAAACTTTTATAGTAGCAAAATAGAAAAATAAACATTTAGAAGACATATCAGGCAATCAAGTTGATAATCATGCCAGTTTGTATTTTTCACTGATCTTTTCTGCATTTCTATTAATTTTATTTTAAATTTCACTTCAAGTTCTGGGATACATGTGCAGAACATGCAGGTTTGTTACATAGCTAGCTATACATGTGGCATGGTGGTTTGCACGTATCAGCCCATCATCTAGGTTTGAAGCACCGCGTGGGTTAGGTATTTGTCCTAAGGCTCTCCCTCCTTTTGTCCCCCACCCCCCAACAGGCCCCGATGTCTGATGTTTCCCTCCCTGTGTCCATGTGTTCGCATTATTCGGCTCCCACTTATGAGTGAGAACATGCGGTGTTTGGTTTTCTGTTCCTGTGTAAATTTGCTGAAAGTGATGGTTTCCAGCTTCATCCATGTCCCTGCAAAGGACAAGAACTCATTCTTTTTGTGGCTGCATACTATTTCATGGTGTATATGTGCCACATTTTCTTTATCCAGTCTATCATTGATGGGCATGTGGGTTGGTTCCAAGTCTTTGCTATCGTAAATAGTGCTGCAATAAACATATGTGCGCATGTGTCTTTATATTAGAATGATTTATAATCCTTTGCGTATATACCCAGTAATAGAATTGCTGGGTCAAATGGTATATCTGGATCTAGATCCTTGAGGAATCACCACACTGTCTTCCACAATGGCCAAACTAACTTATACTGCCACCAACAGTATAAAAGTGTTCCTATTTCTCCACAGCCTCACCAGCATCTGGTGTTTACTGACTTCTTAATAATCACCATTCTAACTAGTGTGAGATGCTTATCTCATTGTGGTTTTCATCTGCATTTCTGTAATGACCAGCGATGATAAGCTTTTTTCATATATTTGTTGGATGCATACATGTTTTCTTTTGACAAATGTCTGTTCATATCCTTTGCCCACTTTTTGATGGGCTAGTTTGTTTTTTTCTTGTAAATTTGTTTAAGTTCCTTGTAGATTCTGAATATTAGATCTTTGTGAGATGGATAGATTGCAAAAATGTTCTCCCATTCTATAGGTTGCCTGTTCACTATGATGATAGTTTCTTTTGCTGTGCAGAAGCTCTTTAGTTTTATTAGATCCCATTTGTCAATTTTGGCTTTTGCTATTGCTTTTGGTTTTAGTCATGAAGTCTTTGCCCATGCCTATGTCCTGAATGGTATTGCCTGAGTTTTTCTTCTAGGGTTTATATGGTTTTAGGTTTTACATTTAAGTCTTTAATCCGTCTTGAGTTAATTTTTGTATAAGGTATAAGGAAGGGGTACAGTTTCAGTTTACTGCATACAGCTAACCAGTTTTCCCAGCACCATTTATTAAATGGGGAATCCTTTCCCCATTGTTCATTTTTGTCGGGTCTGTTGAAGATCCAATGGTTGTAGATGCGTGGTGTTACTTCTGAGGTCTCTGCTCTGTTCCATTGGTCTCAAAGAATCTGTTTTAGTACCAGTACTATGCTACTTTGGTTACTGTAGCCTTACAGTATAGTTCGAAGTTGGGTAGCGTGATGCATCCAGCTTTGTTCTTTTTGCTTAGGATTGTCTTGGCCATATGGGCTCTTTTTTGGTTCCATATGAAATTTAAAGTAGCTTTTTTTCTAATTCTGTGAAGAAAGTCAATGGTAGCTTGATGGGAATAGCATTGAATATATAAATTACTTTGGGCAGTATGGCCATATTCATGATACTGATTCTTCCTATCCATGAGCATGGAATTTTTTTTCCATTTATTTGTGTCCTCTCTTATTTCCTTGAGCAGTGGTTTGTAGTTTTCCTTGAAGAGATCCTTCATGTCCCTTGTAAGTTGTATTCCTAAGTGTTTTATTCTTTTCATAGCAATTGTGAATGGGAGTTCACTCATGATTTGGCTTTCTGCTTGTCTATTATTGGAGTATAGGAATGCTTGTGATTTTTGCACATTGATTTTGTATTCTGAGACTTTGCTGAAGTTTCTTGTCAGCTTAAGGGGTTTTTGGGCTGAGACGATAGGGTTTTCTAAATATACAATCATGTTATCTGCAAACAGAGACAATTTGACTTCCTCTCTTCCTATTTGAATATACTTTATTTCTTTCTCTTGCCTGATTGCCTTGGCCAGAACTTCCAGTACTATGATGAATAGGAGTGGTGAGAAAGGGCATCCTTGTTTTATGCTGGGTTTCAAAGGGAATGCTTCCAGCTTTTGCCCATTCAGTATGATATTGGGTTTGTCATAAATAGCTCTTATTATTTTGAGGTATGTTCCATCAAGTTTATTAAGACTTTTTAGCATGAAGGGATGTTGAATTTTGTCGAAGGCCTTTTCTGTGTCTATTGAGAAAATCGTTTTTATCATTGGTTCTGTTTATGTGATGGGTTCCGTTTACTGATTTGCATATGTTAAACCAGCCTTGCATCCCAGGGATGAAGCCAGCTTGCTTGTGGTGGATCAGCTTCATGCTGTGCTGCTAGATTCAATTTGCCAGTATTTTGTTTAGGATTTTCACATCAATCTTCGTCAGGGATATTGGCCTGAAATTTTCTCTTTTTTGTTATATCTCTGCCAGGTTTTGGTATCAGGATGATGTTGACCTCATAAAATGAGTTAGGGAGAAGTCCCTCTTTTTCTGTTGTTTGGAATAGTTTCAGAAGGAATGAAGGTCCTCTTTGTACCTCTGCTAGAATTCGGCTATGAATCCATCTGGTCCAGGGCTTTTTTCGGTTGGCAGGCTGTTACTGCCTCAATTTCAGAACTTGTTATTGGTCTCTTCAGGGATTCAACTTCTTCCTGGTTCAGTCTTGGGAGGGTGTATGTGTCCAGGAATTCATCCATTTCTTCTAGATTCTGTAGTTTATTTGCATAGAGGTGTTTATAGTATTCTCTGATGGTAGTTTGTATTTCTGTGGGATTGGTGGTGATATCCTTTTTATAATTTTTATTGTGTCTATTTGATTCTTCTGTTTTCTTCTTTATTAACCTGGCTAGTGTTCTATTTTGTTAATCCTTTCAAAAAACCAGTTCCTGGATTCATTGGTTTTTTTGAAGGGTTTTCGTGTTTCTATCTCCTTCAGTTCTGTTCTGATGTTAGTTATTTCTTGTCTTCTGCTAGCTTTTGAATTTGCTTGCTCTTGCTTCTCTAGTTCTTTTAATTGTGATTTTCAGGTGTCAAATTCAGATCTTTCCAGCTATGTGGGCATTTAGTGTATAAATTTCCCTCTTAACACTGGTTTAGCTGTTTTCCAGATTGTGGTATATCGTTTCTTTGTTCTCATTGGTTTTAAAGAACTTCTTTATTTTTGCCTTAATTTTGTTATTTACCCAGTAGTCATTCAGGAGCGGGGTGTTCAATTTCCATGTAGTTGTGTGGTTTTGAGTGAGTTTTTTAATCCTGCATTCTAATTTGATTGCACTGTGGTCTTGTAACTGGGGGACAGGGGCAGAGCTGCAGGGGTGTTCCAAAGATGCTCACTGTTTCCAAATTGGATGTGTTTTTTTCCCAGGTCCTTGGGCTCTCACTCACTCAAGAATGGGGAGGAGACCCAGGTGGCACGGTAAGATTGTTCAAGTAAATATCAGATCCAAAGAGCATTGCAGAAAAGCGATTCATTAGGCAGAGAGAGAGAGCGCTCCCATGCTGTTGTGGGAGGGGATCCAGACATGGAGTCTGCACAGGTAAAGAGAGAGAGAGAGAGGGAAGGCTCCCACGCTGCCATGGGAGGGGATCCCAGAGAAGGAAATCCATATAGGTAAGGGAGTAGGGGGAATTTAACCTGGAAGTTACTCTCGCCATCTTCAAGTTCTCATCCAGTGAGAGGAGCTTTTCCAAACTTCCTCTGGAGTGAGTGATAAACTCTGATGCTGGATTGGCTGCCCGGC